GCTCTTTATTCTTATTTTGTTCCTTTGTTTTTCATAATGCTGTTTCTTTTTTTCTTATCTGGAGGGTCATTTCCTCCCTCCTAATCCACTTACACATTATTAAAAAACAGGCCAGAGTGCCCACATCTGGCATACGGACTCATAGTGAATATGTCTAGAGTTCTGAACTGAGGAAATTTTCTCTAAGGAAAAATGGCATATCTGAAGGTCTATCTAATTTTCACAATGCGGAGAATACTGTTGGCATTTGGAAGTTAAGGATCAGGGCTGCTGAGAAACTTTTCAAAATGCAGAGGTAAGCCCCCGACAAACAACAAGTAATATGATCACAGAAATCATTTGTGCCAAGGTTGAGAAAACTTTTGGTCAGCTGACATCCCAAAATGATAACTGATAAGTGCCAACACAGCACTGGCAAGAATATTGGGAAGAAAATGAGATAAAAGAGAAGACCAGTAAGTGTAATTGCAATATTTAATGAGTACATACTATACTCCAAACATCATATCTAGCATCATATCACCTAGACTGTTTAGCAGTCTACTTTCTTGGTTCACATAATAATTCCATAACCTAAGCAAGTATTTTATGTTTATTAAAAACCCAAAAGGTATCTCTATTTTCAAGACTCATATTTTTAACCAGATTAATTTAAAAGAAAGAAAAAACACCCTATTTTGTATCTCTGTACTTTGTTTCACCTAGAGTACCTAGAGTATATGTTTATTATTAGAGTAAACTGAATTTGTGAGTCTCACAAGTGACTGTAAATTCTAGCAACACTGACATCAGCTGTTAGGAAGCACCGTGAAAGCAGCAGTCCTATCATGCCAACTATCAAAGGCATTTGAATGGAACATAAACAGCTCTGAAAATATGTAGACTGCAAGGGAAGACTGGAGAATAAACAACCCAGACACGAGACATGCTGAAACAAAGAATTTTGTGACTCGTAGGTCCTGTGCTCACTCGGCAACAAGTCCGTACCTGTATCTTCAAATAAGAATGAGCACATGAGACTTGTGAAATCGTGAAGGAAATTAAACCCAGAAATAGATATAAAGGTAGAAGGTTGTCTGATCTTGTAAGTAATGTTTGATTAGAGTATAGTCATGGCTCTAATCTTACAAATGAGGTGTGATCTGTGGCTATTTGGACTCTGTTAGCAAACTCATGTAGTCAAGGCAAATCTAAAAATACTTACTATCTTCCCTTTGCCAGAAAAGGTGATTCTGGCACAAGATTCTGATAAAAATCAGTGCAGCTTTCCAGGGTGACAGTTTCCTATCCACACTGGGAGATTTTCTTCTGCAACTGTTTGTTCCTTAACATTTTCATGATGCTCTGATGAATCTAGACTCAATAAACCTCTAAGATCACAGGCTAAAAAAAGAATATAAGATACAGAGGTAGACAACCAGTATATAAGAATATAAGATACAGAAAAAGAACACTTCTCCGCAGGAAATGTAGACAAGTTTATTTTTTCCTTGGAACAGGGACATGAGAAGGATATCAGAGTAGAGTGAGTAAGACTTGGAGTGAAGTGGATTGTACTAATTACAGCTCAAGGAGATAAACTGAGGAGAAAGAGTGAGGAAGAGGAGGGAAGAGGAAGGCAGAGAAAACGAAAAGATGAGATGAGAAGGGAGAAGAGGAGAGGTGAAGACAGGAGAGAAAGACAGGGAGAAAGAGGAAAAAGCTAAATTTTTGACTATTCTGCATTTCCGTTGGTTGTCACTGGTATATTTAAAAATACCTTTTGTCACCTTTTTCTCATCTATGAATTGGGATGCTCGATTCCAATTTGAGTAGGCTTGGAGATCTTGGCCCCGGAACCCGCATGGCTTTGTCCCTCTGCCAGTACCTTCATGTGTGCGGAGAGTGGTCTCAGCATGGTGGTGGCTGGTCCTGGAGGTCTTCGGCTGCTGGAGCCCTGGTCGGGGCGGGGAGGAAAGCTCAACCCGCTCCCCTCCAAGGGACCCCAGCGAGGAACAGCCAGGCGCAGGGGCAGGAGACTGACTGACTCGAATTGGAGTCTAGCATCCTCCACCCAGATCCTCCAAATTCCAGTAGGCGGGGGTCACACCCACCACCTGGCCCCCTGGCGCCGTGTGATCCCATCAACGGCCAAGACTCAGAGACTATAAAATCCAGCTCCTGGACGAGACCAGTGCAGTCAGTCTCCTGCCCCTGCGCCTGGCTTTTCCTTGCTGGGGTCCCTTGGAGGGGAGCGGGTTGAGCTTTCCTCCCCGCCCCGACCAGGGCTCCGGCAGCCGAAGACCTCCAGGACCAGCCACCACCATGCTGAGACCACTCTCCGCACACATGAAGGTACTGGCAGAGGGACAAAGCCACGCGGGTTCCGGGGCCGAGATCTCCAAGCCTACTCGAATTGGAGTCGAGCATCCTCCACCCAGATCCTCCAAATTTCAGTAGGTGGGGGTCACACCCACCACCTGGCCCCCTGGCGCCGTGTAATCCCATCAGTGGCCAAGACTCAGAGACTATAAAATCCAGCTCCCGGAACCGTGCGGCCACATTCGCAGCCGTGCGACATCTTATCAGGACATCTTTTTATGACATCTTATTATCTCATTCCTACTTTGGACAAACTTGCAGGCTATCGAATATAGCCTGCCCACAGGGCAGAGTCTGGCAAACTCCCCGTGGCGTACCAAATATGCCAAATACCAGTAACAATGATGGGTCTCATTCTCCTAAAGAGCCTTGAATATAATCTCAGGGCTAGGATGAAAGAGACGTTACTGGGGCCTGCTCGAGGCAATCGACGAATAACAGGATGATGAATGAATGAATGAATGAATGAATTGGGATGAATTATACTAACTTTTCATGGATTAAATGAAATACATCAGAACTGAATTAAACCTAAAATGCAATAAATAAGTGTCTTGAGAGCGAACCATTAATTTCACAAATTATTTATGGAGTGTTTGTTTTAAGGACATTGCAGAGTAGGTCTCTGTCCCCAGCCTCTATACAATGGCAGCAAATTAATTGTTATGAGGGTTAGAGTTGACTGAGCATTTCTTGCATTTTCCCCTCTGTCCTAAGCACTTTATTTCTAATGACTAAGATAGTTCTCACAAGTCATCCTTTGAGGGTTGGCTATTTATGTCAAGGGCATGTTGGAAAGAAAAGTTCCAATGATCACAGAAGCTAAGAGAATTTCCTGAAAGTCACGTAGATAAGAAGTCTGCCAGAGTGAGAATAACAAATGCATCAAGCTTCAGCTGTCAGTCTTTTAAAGTGTCCCAAGCATCAGCTTTACTACATGTTTAACCACGATTCATTTTAAGTCAAGATGGTCTCTGTTGTTGAAGATTCTGAGGTGTCTGGATTTGTGTGCTCAAGTTATGGTAGCTTCAGGTACAGCTTTTGAGATGGGGTGCACAGGAATGCTAGAAAAGAGAGCATGCAAAAAATAGAGGAAATGGATGCTTAGCTTTCATAGGATAGGATTTTGTCATGCAGTCTGGAGTATGCGTGTGTGTGTGTGGCATTGGAGGAGAGTGGAGAGAGGAGATAGGAGAGAAATAGAAGGAGAGAGAGAGAAAGGAAGAAATGGAGAACGGAAAGGAAGATGTCAAGAAAGAGGATAATGAATGAAAGAACTGTTGTATTTCCCCAAATATGAATCATATTGATACCTTTTAGATACTGAATTGTGTACTTTCAACAGTTTGATGTAAAGCTTTAACCCTAGAGTTTTTTAAAAAAATATTTATTTATTTTTTATTTTATTTTAATTTATCTGTTTATTTTTAAATTTTTATTAGTGAAACACCATGAAGTACAGTTGTAGACTTACAAATTTTTGTGCTTGGGTTTCAGTTATACAATGATCCAGTACCCATCCCTCCACCAGTGCTCATTCTCCATCAATTACAAAAGCAATCGGTGCTGGCACAGATGTGGCGAGAAAGGGACCCTCCTTCACTGCTGGTGGGAATGCTGACTGGTTCAGCCCTTCTGGAAAACAGTATGGACGATTCTCCAAAAATTAGAAATTGAGCTCCCATTTGACCCAACAATGCCATTCCTGGGAATATATCGCAGAGAGGCAAGAAAAGTATAGTCGAAGTGACATCTGCACTTGTTTGTTCATTGCAGCACTCTTTACAATAGCCAGAATCTGGAAAAAACCTGAGTGCCCGAGAACAGATGACTGGTTAAAGAAACTTTGGTACACTTAGTATTTTTTTTTAATCAGATAGGAGCAATTAGGATGTTGCGAGCCCTAATTATGAAGAGATTGCCTCGAGCAGGCCCCAGTAACGTCTCTTTCATCCTAGCCATGAGATTATATATTCAAGGCTCTTTAGGAGAATGAGACCCATCATTGTTACTGGTATTTGGCATATTTGGTAGGCCACGGGGAGTTTGCCAGACTCTGCCCTGTGGGCAGGCTACATTCGATAGCCTGCAAGTTTTGTCCAAAATAGGAATGAGACAATAAGATGTCATAAAAAAAAGTTCTGATAAGATGTCGCGCGGCCGCGAAAGCGGTCGAGCGGTTCCGGGATCTGGATTTTATAGTCTCTGAGTCTTGGCCGCTGATGGGATTACACGGCGCCAGGGGGCCAGGTGGTGGGTGTGACCCCCGCCTACTGGAATTTGGAGGATCTGGGTGGAAGGTGCTCGACTCCAATTCGAGTAGGCTTGGAGGTCTCGGCCCTGGAACCCGCGTGGCTTTGTCCCACTGCCAGTACCTTCATGTGTGCAGAGAGTGGTCTCAGCATGGTGGTGGCTGGTCCTGGAGGTCTTCGGCTGCCGGAGCCCTGGTCGGGGCGGGGAGGAAAGCTCAACCCGCTCCCCTCCAAGGGGCTCTGGGAAGGAACACCCAGGTCGAGACCTCCAAGCCTACTCGAATTGGAGTCGAGCATCTTCCACCCAGATCCTCCAAATTCCAGTAGGCGGGGGTCACACCCACCACCTGGCCCCCTGGCGCCGTGTAATCCCATCAGCAGCCAAGACTCAGAGACTATAAAATCCAGATCCCGGACGAGAACAATTATGAAGAGATGTTAATCAAAAATCATGGGAACTCTAATCACCGTGTTCTCTCTGACCTCTCAATAGAGGAACAGGTAAGGATGATCCTACCTGATGATCAACACCAGTATCTTTGAATGTATTTTTGAATAGATAGATGCTATAAGGGAGATGATTAAGTTAAAATAAAGCTTTCAACAGGTCCCAAACAAAACTGACTTTCAGCCCTGTAAGAGGACATAGAGGGAGATAGCAGACAATTGTGCAAACACTGAAGAAAAAAAACAAAACAGTACCCCAACCCAAGGAAGCAGTAATGAGTCAGCCAGTCAAGGAGGGTGGTCTCAGAAGAAATTCAACCTTTGATCTTGTATTTCCTGCCTCTAGAATCATAATAAGAACATCATTTTCTGCTGTTTGAGGCACACAGCGACAACTATAAGGTCAACTTAGTAATGGAATACAGTACTGCACCAGCACGCTGCTGGGACACATGATTTCTGGCACAGAATAATCAGCGTTTCACTGTTGCTCTGTGTTGTCAGTTGTTCAGGGTTGCTCCCGGCAGAGAATTGTTGACCTGGGGTCAACAAGAGAGATCTGGCATTCTGCAGGAGGAACACCATGCTATGACAGTACCAACTGTGTCAGACAGAGTCGCTGTATGCGAAAAACAGCGGTAGAGAAAACCAGACCCACTGAAGGAAAAAAGAGTGTCCAGCAGAGTTGCACAGAACCCAGGAAGGGACAGTGTATGTCACGTTTGCCTCAGAGTTTAAAAACTCTTAAGAGGGAATTTTCAGGAAGCTGGGCTTCGTGCATGGCTAGTTTGAGGAAATGAGCCAGAAAAATTAGGTATTAATATTAGTGTTTCCACATATGTACCCAGAGGGTGGTGAGGTTTGGGGAAATTACAGTTCCACACAGTTGACCCTGGAGCAGATGCCTATGAAGATTTAGGAGCAGAGCTAAAGGGGTGTATTGGAAGAATTGGACTGGCGGGCAAACAGTGGTAAATTGGGGAGAGAAAGACCAGGGATATTTGTAAGAAGCAGAACAGGAGGGCTGAGGAAATAGATTTAAGCCTATCCCATTATGTCCCTGTATTACTAAGACGGCTGTATCTAAGAGTTCTGCAAATAGAACATAGTATGTAGACAGCTTGCTTATTAATAAAAGGTGCACTTTACTGACAACGGCCAAAGGCAGGAATTCAAAACATAAATAGGACATTAATGTTGAGGAAGGCAGCCGAGAGACAGAGTAAGAAAGAAAAAATCAAATTAGGTATACTACAAAGAAAGCTGTTCAGAAAAGGACTAGGAGAATGTAGTGCAGGTATTCAGGAGATGGCAAAAGAAGAAGGGATAGAAAGATAAAGCTGTTTCCTTTCCTGGAAAGGACCAGATGGAGGATATATATGCAGCTAAACTCCCAAATGGAAAGAAGGGCTGGAAGAGAGCATGTTGACATCAAGTTGGTTGGAGCGGTGAGGAGTCAAATGAGAAACAGCGTGACACCTCCGTCCCCAAGTGAGACATTCTCTCCATCCATGTTTAACCAGTAACGAAGATTAAAACTTAAAACAAAGAATCAAATGTTTAATTTATTCTCTCTTCCGCTGACCAAGTGAAGCAGGCAGAGAGAACAGTGGGTAGCTCACTGGTCTGAGGCATCTCAAAATTGCAATGCATGCTTATGTTTTTGTAAATTAGTGGACACTACTGTATTTCTCGTACTGATTTATAATGGAAGGTGTAGGATAACATTGGGTTGTCCTTTCTCCCTTGCTACAGGGAGCTTAGGCTCATAGGGTTATACCCATCACAGTGCTCCGGAGTAACTTCCATTCCTCTGTACTTCTCTGTGCTCTTTTCCCCAACCAGTCTATCACCTTTTTCTCCCAATCAAACTCTGTTAACTTGTAAGGTCAGATCCTTCTAAGGACACTGAATTTGTATTGTAAGTTAATATTACCTTTCCCTTCTCCTTATACCATTTGAATAGTTTACTTTAAAGCAATGCCATTTTTGTATGGACAAAGAAAGACAGTTAATATTATGCTTGTAACTTGGGAGTTGACTCCAAACAATATTCACTCCAGGACATCTGCTTCCTTGACTTAAGTCTCAGTTGTCCTCAGTTCCTAGCACCCCAAAAGCAGGGTCCCAATGAGGGACTGAATGAACCCAGGGCAAGCTGTGAGCTACCCTGGCCATCGAAATGGACTTGGCCAAAGCACCACAATTTGCTCGAGAGAGGGCCCAGTAATGCCTCCATTGTGAGACTTATTGTTTCTGTGTTTGGCATATCCAATACGTCATGGGTAGCTTGCCAGGCTTTTCCGTGCGGGCGAGATACTCTCAGTAGCACCACAATACTCAACTCTAAGTTAAGAGCATGGTCATGGACAAATGCTGTCATGATCCAAAAGTATCAATGAGATTAGGACCCTGCTAGGGATAGGAAAGAGCACTGTATTCTGAGAATGAGATTGCCCTGGGAGAGCAATTCTATAAACTTAATGTATCTCTTACTGTGTCCATAAAAAATGACTAACATTATGAATGTATGTTTGTTGGACTAAGGAAAGGAGAAATACACCCATAATTGAAATTTCAGTTGTGGGAGAATCTGCATGAGAATCTGTCCTAGAAGAAGCTTCCCCTGAGGGAAGAATTTTACCCCTATTGATTGGGACCACACCTATGTGTAAACCCCAACCCCTTATGCTTTGGGATTTAACTAAGACTGTAAGAGTGGGCTAGGGGAACCAAAATAATTTTGAAATAGGATCTAGAAAGAGAATGAAGTAGCATGGGGGAGGAAGAAGCAGGAGGAGAATCAGAGGAGAATGGAGAGGAGATTGGAATAAACTGCAACTGAGACCAACCAGCCTGGTCCTCATTTCTTCCTTCGTCTGTCCATCACCAAGAGCCTCCCCAGGGTGGGGAAAGCGTTACAAGATTACCGAACACGTGTGGTGGAGAGAGATAGATAACGGCAGTCCTGTAGTATATGCACAGGAGGGAGTTTGAGTACTGCCTCTATCTCTCTTCTTTAACTCTGGCCATATGGAGAAGGAGTAAAGTTCAGTTGGTAACGCTGGGCAACCCCAGTGTTGCTGATTTCCTTTTTCTCTCAGATTTTCTCACTAAATACCTTTCTATGCTAGCTCTCAAGTAGTTTTGGGTGGACTATGGATTGTTTTTTTCTCATTTGCTATTTTTTTGGGGAGGGGGGTTGTCACACACCCAGCGAGGCTAAGGGATTGCTTCTGGCTCTGCTCTAAGAAATCACTCGTGGCAGTGTTCAGGAAACCCTAAGGGATGCTGGGGATCAAACTCTGGTCAGCTGCTGCAAAGCAAGCATCTTACCCTCTCCAGCCCCATGGGTGGAATACTGAGATTTGTCACTTTCCATACTCTCCATCCTGCTCTCTGAATGGAATACAACATAGGCTGTCAATCTCCCTGAAGATGGATGATTAAATTCGCCTCAATTCTGCTCCATAAAAAAATTTTCCCTCCCATTCACTTCAAGATCTGAGTTAGGGATGTAGTCGGAGCAATTTGATATATCCTTAAGTACATTACAGGCAGTAAAGATCCTTATCTGTTTTTCTAAAATTTTTCTCAATTGATTAAAAATTTGGGGGGGCTGGAGAGATAGTACAGTGGTCAGGACACTTGTATGTGCTCAATCTAGGTTTGATACTCGGTACCCTATAAGGTCATCTAAGCCAAGCCAGTGTGATCCCTGAGTGCAGAGCCAGAACTAATCCTTGAGCTGTGTGTGACAAAAAAATTTTAAAAAAAAAGAAAAGAAAAGGAAAAAAAAGGGATTTAGAAAAAAGAAATTTGTGTGACTCTTTTGCATATCTGAATTACCAACAAACTACTATTGTTTAAACAATTAGTAAGCCTCTTCTCTCTCTATAAACCTCAATTGCCTCATCCATGAAACTGAGAATTCCTAGGAGAAAAGAACTTCATGTGAGAATGATATCCAATAAAATATGTGAAAGAAACAAGTAAAACAAGCATGTAGTACATTGGTGAGTGAAATGTGCTTTGAGGTATTACTTCCACACATTCTCTATTTCAGCTTTTCTAAATTGAAAGGTAATATTTCCAATATTTATGTTTTTTTTTGACAAAATCTTGGACGTAAAAACAGTTGGTCTCTTGGGTGGTGCTAATCATAGTGGAATGGCTTTAATCTTGTCAACTGGAATGCATTTTTTTCTAACTAGAGGAGAGCAGTTAATTGCTGTTCCTCAAGTCAGCAAACCATACAACTTGTTTAAACAATGTTCAAGCTTCAGAGGATTTTAGGTTTTTAATGCTGAACTTGGAAATAATGATTAATGCCTATTCCAACTTTAAGATAATATCATTAAGTAAACTTTTCAATTTCCTCCCCCACCAAAAGAAGCACACACACACACAGACAACCAAAAACAAAAACAAAAAACCTCCAACCTCCCTCAATTTTTCCTTCCATAGAGGTCTGAGCGAACTGAAAAACTGAAATGAAAGGAAGAACTGAAGGAACAAAGTACCTGAGTACATTTCTCCAGGAAAATGGCCTCATTCTGCTAATAAAAAAATTGAATGTCTGGTTTATCGTAGTGAAAACTAAGTCCATGAATGAGTGAGGAATTTTTAGATACATAGTTTAGCAACTAAAAGCAGATGAGGAGGGGCTAATGAATCAATAACACAGATAGATTATTTTGCCATCCCAATCAAAGTGACAGATGAGACTTCCACTGGCAGCATTTCCTCTGTTCTTTTGGCTAAGTCAGGGCAGTGATTGGAGGTATATAAACAGATACAACTGTTGGAGTAGCACTGTAGCACTGCCCTCCAGTTGTTCATTGATTTGCTCGAGCAGGCACCAGTAACGTCTCCATTGTAGAGACTTGTTGTTACTGTTTTTGGCATATTGAATACTCCATGGGGAGTTTGCCAGGCTTTGTTGTGCATGCAGGATACTTTCGGTAGTTTGCCAGGCTCTCTGAGAAGGATGGAGGAATCGAACCCGGGTTGGCCACGTGCAAGGCAAACACCCTACCCACTATGCTAGCTGTTGGGGAATAAACAAAAAAATCCT